AATATATATATTTACATAATTGTATTATTATTATTTTACTTTACAAAATATATATGAATATATATGAATCTAATATATATATATATATATATTTTTTTTTTTTTAAAAAAAAAAAAAAAATTAAATACCTCATAGCCAAGAACTTGCAATGATTTGCAATACTTTTGTCTTTTGACATTAAGACTCAGTGCATATTCGCGATTTATTCGTGGATCTCCTTTAGGTTGTCGAAGTTGCTGAAATAAAGTAAAAATAACATCACTGCAACGTTATAAAATAAGAAAATAACAATGAATTGAATAATTGATGTATACGTGTTCAATGTTTTTAGTAACTTTAGCATTTGTTTCTGCCAAAGTTTCGGGTGTTAGATTTGGTTCATAGTATATTAGAGGGCCTTCGTTACTTTTATGATCGCCTTTTCGAAGTGCTGAAGAATTAGATTCAGCAGAGAAAGTCGAACGAGGATAGTATGGTTTTAGTAGAACCCTGCAGGTATTTATATCTACTTCGGGGAGTAAAAAGAATTCCGGAACCTCGGCCATAGGGGTGATCGTGCCATAATTATCAGGAATATTGGTAATATTGGTTACAGGGACAGTTACCATGTCAAGGTCAACTGAAACGTTTTCCGTAGGGGTTGCGATCGCGTCGATCGTGTCGTAATCAGCCGAGGGTTCGTATTTACTAATATTTGTAGGAACATTCGTTGTGGGAGAGATCGTGCCAAAGTTAGTCGAGACATTGGTCGTATTGATAGTGATCGTGTCAAAGTCAGTCGGTGGTTCGTATTTACTCGTAATATACATATTTTCTTCTTCTGACTCCTGAAAGAGCATTTCACACAAAGAGTTTGAAAGTCAAGATTAGAAAATACATTGAAAGCGAGAAGGTTTTTGGTAAATTGATCGTACTTTGTGCAACAGAGTAAAGTATAAAGTATAAAGCATGATCACATGATTACGTCATGATTTTAAGTAGAATTTTTTTTCCTTCGATAATTATGTCAGTAAATCCAGCCAACCCTCCACGACCCGCTCTCTATGCAACAGACGAAGCTGGTTTTGCATATATTACAACCTTTGAAAGATGGCCAGTAATCGTGACAAAAATTGTCGACGATGTTTATAAAACTCGTCATTCACTTGACCTTTCAGAGGTTGATAAACTTAAAGAGGGCAAAGAAATTATTGATTCTATAGGAGAATTGAAATATCAAATGCAACGGAAGAGGCCGTTGATGTATGTCTACAATACAACCTTTAATGAATTCAATCAACCTTTCTATTGTTTCTATTGATAGCAGTTCAAGTTTTAAAAGTTTATTAACTTTATTTGTAAAAGTCCAATCGAAGATGACGGAGAGTCAGATATTGGCACTTGGACACATGTCTTCAACACTTATTTCAAAGATGAAAACTGGTATTCTGCAACTTGGCTGTTCACAGAATGTTACTTGTATCGTCGAATTCGTTCTATATTTGCAAGAACTAAACATTGGAAAGATTACGATCCTTTTTTTCGTCAAAAAGAAGATACTTTTAAAGCATCATTTAATGCAGTTATCGAAATCGCGAAACGTATTGACGAGTTAGTCTATATTCCAAAATTACACGCAGATAATGAGAAAATAGATACAAGAAGAATTATTTTCCATGAACTTGTCCAAATATCACTTTGGGGCAATGCCACAGATTTATCTTTACTTACTAATCTTAGCAATGATGATATTAGAAAATTGCAAGATATCGGAACAAAGAAGTTAGAAGAATTAGAGAAAAATATTTTAGCGAATGATTTAGAAAAAGCATGGAATTATTTATCAGAAAATAGTAATGTTAGAATTGATATTATTTTGGATAATTCAGGTATAATTTCTAAATTTTTACATTTTAACCCTTCATTATATGTATATTATGAATTTATAATTTATTTATGAATTTGATAATTTAGGATTCGAATTATACGCAGATTTAGTTTTGTCAGACTGGCTAATCCAATCTGGATACGCAAGAGAGGTTCATTTACACGCTAAAAATTTTCCATGGTTTGTTTCAGATACGACGCAGAATGATTTCAATTGGCTCCTCCAAACACTTAAGAGTGAAGATTTCTTTTCATCAGCCACCGAAATGGAAAGATCATTTCTCAAAAAATTTTCAAATCGTTTGCAATCTCACGTTACTGATTCGCGATTAATCCTTACTTCTGATTATTTTTGGACATCACCATACGCTTATTGGCACCTGGCAGAGCAAGCACCTGATTTGTATGCAGATTTGTGTACATCTAATCTTGTAATATTTAAGGGAGACCTTAATTATAGGAAATTGGTATACGATTGTAAATGGAAAACTACTATGACATTTAATGAGGCTATTGGACCATTAGCAAGCATGAAAGGTTCACCACTCATACTTGCCTTACGAACGAATAAGGCAGATGTTATTGTTGGACTTGAAGAAGGAATCGAGGAAAGATTGACTGTTAATGAAAATGATTGGATGTATTCCGGAAAATATGCTGTAATTCAATTTAATATTGGAAATAAATAGCCTTTATTCCTGTAAAGAAACTATTGCTATTTGTCAAGTCAATAATGGTGGATGTTGAGCTTGAAGGTGTGTCCATTAGATCACCTAGAATAATCATTTAACTTTGGGATCTACGGTTGTTAGCAACACTTATTATGTTGATTGTGATTAAACATTAACAATTATTAAACCTTTTTTTTCGTTGATATTAAGTACTTTGAAAATTGAGTGTATTATATGCATTAAAGTTGGGCGACTAAATTTTTTTTTTTTGTAGCTTGTCAAAAAAATTCATCTTTTGCTTATTTAAAATAAAATTATTGTCTAAACTCTAAATAAATATTATTCTAATTGTTGTCAAAAGTCTAAACATTTTAGCTTATTCTAAACTGTTACGTACAATAATTACTATGTATGTATATATGTATAAGCTACGTATTACGTAAAAATATCAATGTACGAATAAAAATGGTATTACTGGTGTTTAACATGTCTAATTAACCAACCAAGGTTAGATATACTACGTATATAATATTGATCATGCATCGATTAGTATCATGAAATTTGTTTTGTCGGAACTTGGTTGACATGTGCCGCGTAGCGGCACGTTCAGCCAATCATTTGCTTTGACAGAACAAATTTTGTGATATTTATCAACGCATTTGTGGCATTTGTGTTACGTATCCGGGTCTTAAATTTTCTTATTTCTTTGATAATCTTGTATTCTAGATTGTTTTTCAAGTTAACTTATTCTAGCTTTTGTAAATTGAGATCTAAAATATAATTAGTGGGTGGGGTTTTACACGCCAAATGATTTACAAACATAGTGCAGCACTATATGATTGGCGCACTAAAGTAAGATTTTTAAAATTTTGTCGATCATTTTTTTGAAAAAATTTACATAGTAATTTTATTATAAAATCGGTGCATTTTTAAAATGCTCTAACTATTGTTCTAATAAAGAAAATTTAATTCTGTAATTTGTAAATGATATATTGATAGCATAGCTTTAAATCTATGTGGAGATATTTTCTAATTTATTGTATTAATTTATCTAAAATTATAAATAAATAAATTTTCATAGTAAAATATTCATTATTTGTATGTTTAAACTACAGAGATCTCTAAAATTCACATATTAATATAAAATATGGCCACATAGGTTTAAAATTATGCTATTTAGTTATCATTTACAAGTTTCAGAATTCAATTCGCTTTGCTAGAACAGGAGTAGAACGTTTTAAAGGTCGAATTTTCATATGCTTTTCAAAATCACGTGATAAACTCGGAGTATTTGCTTCGAAATATGTGTATGCGCCAAGTCTTATTTAAAGTTAAATAATGGGATTTTTTAATGGATTTTTAATGTTTCTTATAAAACCTTAATGTTAGTTTGTTATTTAACTGGGTTAATAAAATAAAATTGACTAGAGGTGAACTTTTCAGACAAAATTAGCGAAATTTAAAGAATAAATGTATACAGTATTGACCCCAAGAAATTTGCATAGCATTATTTCAAATTTTTATATTGTTTTAAGAATGTTTTTTTTTTTTAATTTTTTTCATTCTTATTCGATAATGTTTAATAGATCTACTCTCGCTTTGCTAAAAATTTTTACATTATTATAATTAACATCCTCAATATAATGAAGTCGATCCAAATTCTTTCTCAGTTTAAATGTTTAAATGACTTTATTATAATGAGGGTTTTGTGTTTTGAAAATAAAATGAATTTTTATTATTGAAAGTAAAATTTCCAATACAATTGTATTAAAATAACTCGCCATACAAATAAAAGAAAATGCTTAATAAAAGTTACTGAAGATCGTGAATCAAAAAAACAATATTCCAATATTTGCAAAACCATAGACTCTTTGAATAACGAAGTACTAGTAAAAGTTCAAAATTATATTAATTCATTAAACTCCCAACAGCCAAACATCTATAAGCTAATTGATTCTTTGGATCAAGAGGAATTAATAAGTATACGAAATTATATTGATTCGATTAGTCCCCAACGGCGAAGTGTTATTGAAAAAAGCTCGACACAATAATTGACAAAATAAAAATTTTACCAGATAATCAAATCCTAAAAATTGAGAGTTTAATAAATACTATAACATATTCTAAAGGCAAACTTAAAGATGAAATACTGTCGCCATACCTACAAAAAAAAGTAATCGAGTTCATAGAGAGTGGTCTTTTCAAGCATTATTCGTCTGCTTCTGCCGTACAAGATAAACTAAAGAAATTAGAAACTGAAAACCAAAAATTAGCAAGATCATTAGTAAAGTCGAATAATGAACTTAAATCTTTCTGTATAAAGATCGTAAGAGCAAAGAAAGCAAAGCAGGAATATATTTCTAAAATTCGGTCTGTCACTCAAAAATCAAAAAAAATTACAAAAAATCAGTTTAAAAAAATAGTAAAAAAAATGATAAAAAATAATAATAATGAATATTCGCCTGAATTCGTTAAGCTTGCTATCAATATAAGTAATATCAGGACAACTTCTCTTTCAGCAGCAGCAGAATGTACTAAAGCAATGATAAGTTTTCTTACTGGTGAAACGCCAGACCATTGGCTATCAAAAGGAACTCTTTCTCGGTAGAATAAAGAAGTTGCTAAAATATCGCTTTATTAAAATCGGCCAGAAAACCCGCATTCAACTTCTTATTCATATAGTGTAATGGCTGATGAGAGTACAAGAGGAGATAAGGTGTTTTTAGTTTGTTTTTCGTATTGGGATGCATATAAAAATCAACCAATGATTACTCTCGTGAAAATGATAGACCTAAATAAATATAGTAGCAAAAATGGTAAAAGAAACGTGTGAAGAAAATAACTTAGATCCAAGACAGTGCCAGTTTTGGCTTACCGATAATACGGTATACATGTCAGGAAATAAGTCTGGCACCATCGTGGAATTTAATTTGCAGGCAAATGCATTTTCGTTCAGAATCCCGTGTGGTCTACATGCACTACAAATAGTGTTAGTTGTATTTGAAAATACTGCATTTGGAAAATTAAACACAGTGTCAGGACTATCTTTGCGAGAACATCCTTATAATCTTCTTCAACTTGTTTACTATCTACATGATGGTTATAGCGAAAGTAATAAAGACTGTCCATTAAATATGAAATCAAACATGATACGTAAACTATATTAGACGTTTCTAAAATATAACCTACAAAAATATCAAAAACCTATCTCGAGCCGATAGCGATATCAATTAATAATGGCAAGTCAATATCTAAAAAATTATGATATTCATAAGCTTTTTGTAACTTGGTTCATTAAACAATTTAATGAATTCAAAAACATATCTGAGAGATATGCTAGGCAATAGAAAGTATTGAATGACTGGATAAATAATATAAAGCTTAATCTTCAAATAAAATATATGGTGCAATTTGGCAACTTTTTTTATTTGAAATTCTTCGAATTTCTAATCAGATTTGATAACGTACCTCGAGTATTAGAAAATAATACATTTAAATGCCTTCTTTCTGGACACCACACATATGAACTTACTAATCAAGTTCTGTTTTGGCTTGGTGAACTACAAAGTGCAATTAATGACCCCTATATTATTTTTGAGGAACAAATTATTGAAGCACGTTCAAATTTATGTGATCAGGAACTTACTGCTTTAATAAATAATTTAAAATCTGGTTTAGAAAAGACACGAGAAGGATTTTTAAAGTGAATAGATTGCTAGATTCACTTACCTTTAACGATATGTCTATTGGGTAGAAGTAATGGTCCTGATTTTGCACGAAGTGTTTGCTATGTTTTTTTGGACCGACCATTAAATGTTGAACTGACAGAAAAAGAACTTCAATATACTGAATTGCTAAAGAAAGACAAGTTAGAAGGAAATATTCAATCGTTCGGTTTATTTAATGCACTAAGAGATCCACAATTTTTAGAACAATTCCTTA